TTTTTCTATAATTATATTTTATTAATTTTCATAAACATTTACAGAGATTTTGGGCTTCCACTCATTCATTGTTGCACTATTCTCTCTACCCTCGTACTCAAAGTATTAATTCTCAAAGAAAAGGAAAGGTCAGAACAGAAAATGGTAAATGCAGATGGCAATTATTAGGAAGACATCTGTGACTTTTAGGCAAGTTAGTCAGTACAAAAAAACCCCCAGAAAACAATAAAATCTGAAACAAAAAACCCAAATTCATTGGCATCAAGTTGATTTTGATACATGGAGACCCTCAACTGGGTTTTCAGTGTTATAAATCTTTACTAGAGGAGATCGCCCAAATTTCTCCTAAGAAGTGGCTGGTCGATTGGAACTGCTGATGTTTAGGGCAGCATTTCAACCTGTAATGCACAGTACCACTAGGGCCCCTCAGACATCAGAGACACTCAAACTACAAGGTGATACCATTTCATTCATTATTAGAACGGCAATCATTAAAACAATCCCAAATAACCACCTAAAAACACAAGTCTAGACAAGGTTGCAGAGAAACTGGAACCCATCACTGTGGAGATGTAAAAAAAAAAAAAAAGTTACAGTAACCTTGGAAACAGTTTCACTCTTCCTCAAAATGACCCAGCAATCCCAATCCTGGGTATGCACACAGAACAAGTGAGGGATGCAGTGTGAACAAAAGTCTGTGCACCAGTGTTCACTGTGGCGTTTTTCACCACAGCTAAAAGCTGGCAACATCTCGACTGTCCATCAATAGATGATGGGGAAACCAAACAGAGTGCTTCTAGGGCGGAAAGGGAAATGAAATTCTGATGAAGGGTGAAGCACGGATGAAGTCAGGAAACATTTTGCTGAGAGAATGAAGTCAGTTACAAAGGACAATACTACAGACAAAATATAAAACCCAAAGACTATTAGTGGTTACCAAAGGGTTGAAGAAGAGGAACAGGGGGTTTTTGCTAAGGCGGCACAGAGTTTCTGCTGACAATGAGTTGGTTTGGAAAAGTATCTTATAGCTTCAGAATTTGACTTGAGGGAATGAGTTTCACAGAATTCCAAGGTAATTCATATATACATTAGTATGTGACAATGCTAGAAAGTATAGGATGGCATTTTCTCAATAATTTTAAAATTACTTGGAAAAACATGGACTATGTTACTCTTGTTATGTGCTGTCGAGTCACTTGCGACTCATAGCATCCCTATGTACAACAGCCCTAAACTCTGATCTGTCCTCTGCCAGTCGCACCGTCTCCGATACACCCATCACGATTACCCTAATCACTGAATCAATCTACCTCATAGAGGGCCTTTCCCTCCTGTGCTGTCCCTCCACATTCCCAAGCATGATGTCCTTCTCCAAGGACTGGTCCCTCCTTAAATCATGTCCAAAATATGTTAGACAGAGCCTCAAAATCCTTGCCTCCAAGGGGGAACCCAGTTTGACCCTCTCCAGGATGAATCTGTTTGTTTTCCTAGCAGTCCGTGGTACCCTCAATACTCTTCTCCAGCACCACAGCTCTAAGGCATCAATTCTCCTTCTATCCTCCTTAGTCATTATCCAACTCTCTGATGCATAACAAGTGATAGCAAAGACCATGGCCTGTATCAGACGCACCTTAGTCTCCAGAGAGACACCATTGCTCTTCAGTACTTTGGAGAGGTCCCTAACAGCAGACTTTCCCATGGCAATACGTCTTTTAATTTCTTGGCTACTGGTGCCGAGAGTGTTGACTGTGGAGCCAAGCAAACTAAAGCTGTGAACAATCTGTCTCTTCACCATCCATCCTGATGCTGCCAACTGGTCCAGTGGGGAGAATCTTTGTCTTCTTGACATTGAACCCGACTTCTGGCAGTTCTCTGCTGATGTGATGTTCCAGTCATTTTTGGATAATCTTCAGTAGAATCTTGCTTGCATGTGAAATCAATGAGATTGTTCTATAGTTTCCATACTCTGTTCGGTCACCGTTCTTTGGGATGGGAACAAATATAGATCTCTTCCAATCAGTCAGCTGGCCAAGTGGTTGTTCTCCAGATTTCTTGGCACAACTTGGTGAGCACATCTAGGGCAGCATCTGTTAGCTGAAATATGTCAATTGGTATACCATCTATTCCTGGGGCCTTATTTTTTGCTATTTCCTTCAAAGCAGCCTGAACTTCTTCCTTCATCACCATAGGCTCTTGCTCATATCTTGTTTCATGAAATTCTTCTGTGTCTTCCAATTCCTTTCGATACAGTGACTCAGTATATTCCTTCCATCTTCTTTTAATACTTTCTGGATCATTTAATATTCTGTCTAAAGCATCCTTGATTATATAGCAACTCGAGGTTTGAATTTGTTCTTCAGTTCCTTGAGCATAAGAAATGCTGAGCGAGTTCGGCCCTTTTGATTTTCTGACTCCAACTCCTTGCACATTTCATCGTAATATTTTACTTTGTCATCCCATGCTGCCTTTTGAAATCTTCTATTCAACTCTTTAGTGTCTTGAATTCTTCCTTGTGCTTTGGCTTCTCTGTGCTCCAGTGCAATTTTCAGAGTCTCTTCTGACATCCATTTTGTTCTCTTCCTCTCCCATCTTTGCAATGACTGTTTGCATTCTTCCTGGATGATACTCTTGATACCCTCCCACAACTCATCTGGTCTTTACTCATCAGTGTTCAAGGCCTCAAACCTGTTCCTGAGATGGTTCTGCAATTCAGGTGGATAGACTTAAAATCATATTTTGGTGCCCGTGGACTTGGTTTAATTTTCCTCAGCTTCAGCTCGAAATTCCATATGAGTACTTGCTGGTCTGTTCCACAATCAGCTCCTGGCCTAGTTTTAACAGCTGATATTGAGCTTCTCCAGCGGTTCTTTCAGTCTGATTCCTATGCATAACATCTGGTGAAATCCATGTATATAACCTGCATTTGTCTCTTAAAAAATGTACTTGCAAAGAATAAGTCATTGATTGTGCAAAATTCAATCATCCTCTCTCCAGCTCCATATCTGTTATCGAATCCATGTTTTCCAACTACTGAATCTTCCTCTCTGTTCCCAACTTTTGCATTCCAGTCACCCATTATCATCAATGCATTTTGATTGCATGTTCGATTGATCTCCGACTGTAAAAGTTAGTAAAAATCTTCTATTTCCTCTTCCTTGGCTCTGGTTGTTGGTTCATATATCTGAATGATAGTGGTATTCACTGGCCTTCCTTGTATGCGTAGGGATATTATCCTGTCACTCACAATATTGTACTTCAAGATGGATCTGGCAATGGCTTTCTTAACTATGAAAGCAACTCCATTTTTTCTCACCTTTTCATCTCCACAGTAATATATCATATGATCATCCGACTCAAAATACCCCATGCCAGTCCATCTCATCTCTCCAATGCCTAGTATTTCAATATTTATGCGTTTTATTTCTTCCTTAACAATATCTAATATCCTACATTCATGGTTCTTACATTCCATGTCCCAATCACTAGTGTCTGCTTACAACTGTTCCTCTTCCTTTGTATTTCCATACCTGAAAGCTCAACCTCAGTTGCCTTTTCTGTTATCTACATATAGATATATATGTTGTACATAGGGTTTTCGGAGGCCTGCTATTTCAGAAGTGGATGGCCAATCCTTTTTCCTAGTCGGTGTGAATCTGAATGTTCAGATTTAGAGACGTATCAGACAGACCAGCGTTTTACAGAAAAGTTACTCCTTATTGTGGAGTAAACCATTCATATCAGTGTTGTCCTTGCCCTTGGCACACGTGTCTTTACCCACTTCAAATGACAAACCTTAGACTGTAGGCAAAAGGTAAAGGACTTAAGGACAGACAACTTTCTCAGAGTCAGAGCTAGTTCTCCAACAACAGAGGTAGCTGCCTTGTGACACCTCTTGTCAGAAACAACTTTACACAAACTCTAGGAGGACCACTTACAAAGAATGACACAGGTTCCCCTCCTAAGTGGAAAATACTGAGATACAGAATATAAAGAAAATATTTTAGTACTGAATATTTTTAGTTGAGTAATGAGAACTGCATACTGAAATACACGGCCATAAAAAGCTGACAATGACCAACTTAAAAATGTACCTGTACAAGCCTTGCTTCTTAACCCTGGAGTTTTCTGGGGTTTTGGAGTGACGGAGAATTGAGGAATACTTCTACTGCACACAGGCGCTGCCAAAGGCATAGGAAGTACCTAGACGAGAAAAAGGTTTTATTATACCACTTGGAAAGCTGTACTGCCACACTTTCAGTTATAAATCTTACCTGCCGAGGTGGAGCAGAAAAAGTACTTCCACTTTGTCCAACTACGGATACAGGGATCATTCCCACCATTCCTTGTAGTACTGGCTGAACTGGAGAAGCAATTATGATAGCAGATCCTTAAAAAAACCCAAAACACACCAAAAGGTCTCAATAAGTAAGATTTACTCTTGTAAACATAAAATATCAAAGAAATTATGTTAAAATAAATGATACAAAATTATAATCCTTTTCTCTAGTAATCTACTTAAAAAAAAATTAATAGTGCTTTAGAAACAACATCCAGGCTAACAAAAGATGGTCACACTTAAAGTTAAGGTGGTCTTGTCACAGCATTTGCTGTTTATCATTAAAAGCTATGCCATCTAGTCGAGTATGATTTAGAGACCTTATAAACAACATATCTCAAAACTGTCCTATACTCACAATCTGACAGACTTGAGTGCACTGCAGCTGTCACAGGGTTAAACTGTCTGGTTGAGGGTTTTCTTCTTTTTTTCTGAACCTACACCTTTCTAAGGATGAAGTCCCTCTTCAAGAAACAGTCTCTTCTAATAATACACCCTAAGTATGTGAGCTGAAGCTAGGTCATCTTTGCTTATAAGGAGTACTCTGGCTGCACCTTCTCTAAGATCTGTCTTGTTGATTCTGTTGGCAGTCTGTGGGATATCCAGTCCTTTTCTCCAACATCATAACTTAAAGGCTTTTTCTGTCATCTTATTCACAATCTAGCTCTTAGATGCACAGCAAGTGAAGGAAAAGACCATCCCCTCAATCAGGCACACCTCAAGTCTTCAAACTGACATTGTTTCTAAACAATGTGGAGAGATCCCTGACTGCAGATTTTCCCCAATGCAGTATGTCTCCTAATCTGAGTAAATCACAGAAATCAGTCTCAGGGAACATGGTAAGCAAGACTGTACAGCCAGAAGACCTTTTTTAGAATTTTGCCTCCTCTACAAGGAGTGGAGCGCACTAGAAATTCATGAAGGGTATACATCTGAGCCTTGCTGTTATGTGTCATTGAGTCGCTTGTGACTCATAGCAACCCTTTGTACAACAGCCCTAAACTCTGCTCTGTCCTGTGCCAATCACACTGTCTCTGATACACCCACTCTGATTACCCCAGTCACTGAATCAATCAACCTCATAGAGGGCCTTCCTCTCCTGCGCCTTCCCTCCACCCTCCTAAGCATGATGTCTCTCTCCAAGGACCTGTCTCTCCTTACAACATGTCCAAAGTACGTCAAGACGAAGCCCTAGAATCCTTGCCTCCAAGGAGTAGCCTGGTTTAACCTTCTCCAGGATGAATCTGTTTGCTTTCTTAGCAGTCCATTTTACATTCAGTACTCTTCTCCAACACCACAGATCAAAGGCATCAATTCTCCTATCCTCCCTAGTCATTGTCCAACTCTCTGATGCAAAGCAAGTGACTGCAAAGACCATGGCCTGTGTATTAAGTACATCTTAGTCTCCAGAGTGACACCACCGGTCTTCAATACTCTAGAAAGGTCCCTAATAGCAGACTTTCTCATCACAATACGTCTTTTAATTTTCTGGCTGCTGGTGTCAAGAGTGTTTTAAAGTTGTTTTTTTTTTTAACAAAACAGTTTTAAAAAAATTGAAAAAAGTATTATCTTCCCAAGGCATGTTTCTTTTATATCACTTAGAACTTTCCACTTCCCTTATGCTCATAACCTTCCCCCCCCATGTCTGTTTGTTTTTTTAGTATTTTTTTTGTGTGCATGTACCATGAAATTGAATCTGACTGGCACAGAAGATTGCCTCTCCTTCTCCAGCAGATCATCTGGTGGATTCAAACTGCATTAAAAACTTGGGATTGCAGCACAGCTTCTTGCCACTAGGCCACCAGAGCTCCATGCGCATAACCTCTTAACCAGTATTTCAATACTGGTGGTCTATGATCTACCTATGATTTTAAACGTTTATTCAATACTAAGTAAAACTTTGTAAGGAAATTTACACCGCCTAGAAAATCATCAGGATATGGACTGACAGAGAGATTAACAATGGATTCAAGTGTGTCAGAGATGATAAGGCTGGTTTAGGACAGGGCAAGGTTCAGAGCTACTGTTCACAGGTTCCCTAAGTCATAGTCAACTTGACTAGCATGTAACAACAAGAAGTACAACAACAACAACATAATACGTGGCTGCAGTTAGGCCCATTCTAACTTCTGTCAGATTGATCTTTTCACTTTGCTACACACCCTGCTTGGTTTCTAAATTAACTAACTTTGTGTGCTTCCTTTTACTTCAAATCCTACCTTATTTCTCTAGGCTTCAGTTCAAGTTCCACATTCTCAACCACTTCTGACCTCTCCTTTGTATTTTAAAATCTGGAAATGTACAGTGTGACATAAACTCTGTCCTCAAGTAACTTATAATCAAGAATGACCAACAAGGATAGATAATCAATCGCTAAATAGCATATAGTTGTATATAATAAATGCTGTGTCTTGGGGAGCTCTGGTGGCCTAGTGGCAAGGATCTGCAACTACAATCCCAGAGGTGAACGGTTTGAATCCACCAGATGCTCTGCCGGGTAAGGAGGGACAATCTCCTCCTGTACCAGTCAGATCTGATTTGACGGTACACGCACACAAAAATAATAAAATAAAATTTAAAAAAAATTAAAAAAAACCAAAAATGCTGCAAGACTGTCTAGGAACGAAAGGTTCTAAAGACAGGGACCACTCATGGAAGGTGGAAGACAAGGAGAAATTAGTTAACTCGTTGAAAACTGAGACCATAGTAGGTAGGTATTTTGAAAACTACTCTATAATATTGGGTTCAATAGGCACAAACCTTATTAGCTAGTCTTCCCCTCTTGTCTTTTAGTTGCATATTAATATGTGTGTTAAGAAAAGAATTGATGAAAAAGTAATGTATTAAACTAAAGAAATTTACATCTAACCAAGAGATTAAAATAGGTATGATGATGGAAAAAATGAGTCAGAGTTAGAAGATTGCTGCTCATCAATTTCAGAATACTGCTTCTCATATTGTCTACCTGTGACTTTTCCTCCTATCCCTTTAGTCCACACTCAAGAGAATTCCCATCCCATTCCAGAATATGTTCCTAAAGTTACCTTGCGAAAAGTTTGGTGAGACAGCCTGGTTGACAGCAAACACACTGTTTGAGCGCGGAGGAGTCTGTAACTGAGTTGCTGCAGGCTGAGCAGGGATAGGTGCAGAACTCCCAGGCAACATCACCACATTAGACTGACTGACAGCAGTTCCCAAGGCTGTCGGGTCAGTCACACAAGTGGCTATGAGAATGTTATTTGAACTGCCAAAAGTTGTGGTTGTAGCTGGCATCAACTGTATGAATCCTCCATCCTTGGAAACACACGGTGTAACGGCTGAAGCAGTAATGCTGTCTTCACTCTGAGTGTTGGTCACTACAGACTCTTCGGGTTTGAATGCTGGAAGACTCTGTTCTGCTGAGACTGGATTTCCAACTCCTTCAGTAGACACAACGGCACCTACAGTTTCTTCAGAAGACAAGGATTTAACTAATTCTGCATTTTTGGCAGATGTTTTAGTGGAAGACAAAATTATAGTTGGCAAGTTTTCTCCACCGATACTAGAAACAGCACTGTTTAATTCAGCATCTGAAGAAACAAATGAATCATCGCTGATGATAATTTTGAGAGAAATAATATTTGATGCATCTACCTCTGCTGAGCTGTCCCTAGAAGGCTTATCGTCAGCATTTTGAGACTCAGGGTTACACTCTCCCACTGAGGAACACACAGGCTCTGAAGGAAGACTGTCTTCTATGGCATTACCCTCTGGAGGCATCAAAGCCACTTCCACACAGTTATTATTTTCCCCCAAAGAGAGAAAAATAGTATCTCCGTCTTCTTTTGCAGAAGATGAAGGTGCTTGTGAATCCAAAGCAGCTTTCTCAGACTTTGCAGGCTGAGTTTCATTTTCGATCTGTGTTAATTCATCAGGTGGTGAATTAGGAGTTGGTTGTTTAACTGAAGTGACTGAATCTCCATGACAAATGTCTACTGGTTGTTTCGATACATTTAAACATGAATTTTCAACAGAAACAGGGATTATTTTAGTTTGTAGTAAAGATTTATCTTGGCTATCTGAAAGTTGTTGTGAAGCAACTGGTAATAAATTATTAATTTCAATTTTTTCCTGGTGAATTTCACTAGCCTCTGGTGACTTGGAACCATGAACATTATTCTTAGGTCTTACTGTATCATTAGAACTTTCACCCTGACTTTTTTTAGATGGTTTTCCAGTTAATGAAACATTCTGGGATAAAAGTTGTGAACTTTTACCAGAGAGAATTAAGTTTTCATGGTCTATTTCACTACCAAGGGAAATAAATGCAGGTATTGGTAGAGCAGTAGCTGGATCAGGCTGTAACTGTGATTCATTTGACACACTCGCAGGTAAAGAATTCTTTCCAACGTCCATAGCCATTTCCGTTTCAGTGGACATTTGACTGGTGTAGATTTCAGCACAATGGTGGTTACATATAGCATCGGAATTTCCTCTTTGGTTAAAGTCAGTCAAATTAGGCACAGAATCAAAGGTAATGTCAAGGTTACACTTCTGTTCAATAGGTACCATTGCTTTAAAGGTCTTTTTTGGGATGTTAGAGCTTATTTGGGAAAAATGTTCTTGGGTGTCCTGTCTAAGCTCATCATGGTTGCTGGCATTCTTCAAATCTGGTGCTTCTTCATTTGGATAAGAAGTACAGAACGGGGGCTGCCCCGACTGAGGGTCTGTAAGATGAGATAGAAGAGAGAGGGCAGGCATGGTTAATAGCTTAAGTAGCTATCTTTACTGTAAAACATACTTTATCAAGGAACTAAATATTTGACATATCTGAAAGTATGACAAACCCTACATCTCATTTTTAAATATAAAGGAACTTTACTAATTATTGATACCTTTATAAATTCGTGCTGTTTCCCAAATTTATTGGAAAACAACTGACACATGAAGGGAAAAAAGCAATGAGTACCAAGTATTTGCCAATATGTAAAAATACTGCCTCTAAACATCCAATTTTTTTCTGAAACTGCTGACTTTTCAAGTTTTACCACTTCTCTAGATTCATCCTCTGCAATCTTACAGAAACCCTGGAGCACAGGTTAAGTGCTGGTCTCTTTGACTCTCAGCTGCACAGTGGGAGAAAGACAAGGCAGTCTTCTCCCAAGAAGATATGGCTATGAAAACCTGATGGAAGGTCAGCATGAGTCAGAGTTATCTAGACGGTGCTGGGGTTTTTTGGGCGGGTGGTGGTGGTGTTTATATTCTTACAGATGAAATGGAACAAAAACCATTTTAAAAGTTGGTTTTTGTACAAGCATTAATATACACTGTTTCATATAATCATTCATATACATTATATGTCATATAATTAATGAATTACTTTTTTATCCACAATCTCAGCTAAAATTCATTGTACCTTGCCTGCTGTTATGTACCAGAGTTGGAACCAACCCATAGCGGTCTCTCCTGCAGGCTTAATAAGTCGGGAGACTGACTGTGGAGCAGGTGGTGGCCTCGAACCACATGCCTACTAGACTGCAGTGTGGCTTCATGCCACTAGGCCATCAGAGTTCTTGTACCTTTCCTATTCCTTCTAATTTGAACAACTTCTAAACCAAATATTTTTCTTTCAAATTTTGATAAAAAAAAAACAACATAACACACAACAAATTAAGATTTGGACAAAGGGGAGCTCTGGTGGCCTAGTGGTAAGGAGCTGCAACTACAATCCCTGAGGCGCACGGTTCAAATCCACCAGATACTCTGCTGGGGAAGGAGGGACAATCTCCTCCTATACCAGTCAGATCTGATTTGACGGTACACTCACACAGAAATAATAAAAAAAATTAAAAAAAAAAAAAAATTGGACTAAAGATATTTTAAAAAACACAAATTCAGGGGAGCTCTGGTGGCCTAGTGGCAAGAAGCTGCAACTACAATCCCAGAGGCGCACGGTTCGAATCCACCAGATGCTCTGCCGGGGAAGGAGGGGCAATCTCCTCCTGTACCAGTCAGATCTGATTTGACGGTACACGCACACAAAAATAATAAACAAACAAACAAACAAACAAAAAACAAAACAAAGCACAAATTCTTACCGGATACTTCTGTTTCAAAAGGACTTTTAACTGCTAGATTAGCTTCATCTGCTAACACTACACTGGGATCAGTTTCCATGTGATGACTGGAAATGCCAGGTGGTGTATTTTTATTATTCTTTGTTTTACCTATTAAAAAGAGAATAGGAAAATAATGGATTAAATAGTCAAAGTAAAAACAAGTACCAATATTGCTAGACAATGATGAAGTGGATGTAAGTTTTATCTTTGGTCTCCTAAATGTTTTTTTTTTTTTGTCTCCAAATGTTTTTAACATGTTGATTACATGCCATTTGGAAGTACAAAGATTTTTCCATCAGATCTGCAGTTCTTTAGCATGAATCAGAAATCACAGAGTCTTCTAGAATCTCAACTTCTAACTAGTTCTGAGCTAATGTAGATACTGATGGTATAAGGACGATGCTTTGGGAATTCCTGCCCCAGATCCTAAGATTGAGGATAATGACTAAGTTTTGTATTCTATTAGTATTTCTCAATAGGTCTGTAATTGGCAAAAGCACAGTAACAGAAAAATAAATCCACAGCAAATGTGAGAAAATAACAAAGTATTTAACATTTTCTTTAATGAAAACAAACTTTTCAGATGCTCTGGGAAATGCTTCTTCGCTTTGGTTAAGTTACCTTACCAAGAATCTAGAGAAACTTTTCTTGTATTTTTTTTAAAAAGGGCCTTACCATAGTCAAAGAGATCAAAGAGTGCCTGAAATGCTGGGTCTGACTCTGTCTGTTCCAATATATCTTGTATAACTTCTTCAGACATATGGATTTCATTCTGCGAAGCGGAAAAAAACCCCCAGTGAGCTAAAGGCACCATCTTAAATAGAGTATAGACTGGTCTCAGCAAGATAATGACAGACATTTATTTGGTAATTATGGTTTTCTAGGGAGATGCATTTCAAAGAGGAATTTTTTCTAATTATAAATATACTAATTTAAAATAAATTCCAGCAAGTGCATAATTATAATTAGTATCTATGCATGAGCCATAAAACACATAAATTAAATCTTAGTAGATTTGAAGAGAGAACAGATAATTATGACCATAGCAGGTGATTTCAATACAGAAAATACATTCTTCACTTGTGTCCACAGAACTTCCCTGTTAACTACTGGTTTGAGGACAAAGTGTACTCCTGAAAACCTTTTCCTTGTTTTAAATCTTTGTTGTCTGTAACTTTATGCACTTCTCAATGTTTTCCTTTTCGTTAATGATAGTGTGCTATCACCTTTCCTTTCACTTAATGAGTCTCTCACGTTAACCAAGCACTGTAGTGGAACAGTGCTTCAAGTGTCAGGCTGCGTAACTGACAGGTCAGTGATGAGTTCATCAGCTGCTCCACAGCACAGCGGAAAGATGAGGGAGTCTCCTCCCATTAACATTTACAGCTCTGGAAAGAAATTCTCCACTTAGGATTGACTCAAAAGCAGGGGGTTTGAAGATTGGTTTATTACTTTTCTTTCTCTCCTCCTTCCTGATAATCATTGGGGGGAAAAAATTCCTGTGTGTAAACGTTTCCTTAACTTTTTATAATTATAGTAATGATTTTAGAATTTAATCATACAATATTTGCCTTATATGAGTAACTGACTTCAGCCAGCAAAATGTTCTCCAAAGTCATGTGGGTTATATGGCGTTTTGTGAATTCATTATAATTTCATTATTCATAGCCCATTGTGTGTTCATAGTTTATCCATTCACCAGCTGACAGCATTTAGGTTGTTTTTATCTTTGTTATTGTCAACAGGGCTGTAATGAACATGTGTCCCCATACCCAGTTCTTACTTCTACATGATATTTATTTATCAAGTAGGTTTAATGGATCAAATGGTATTTCTAGTTCTAACTCTTAAGTGTTAAACTTTCCCATAATAGTTGTAACATTTCCTAGTCCCACCAGGATTGTATCGATGTTCCAATCTCTGCAAATTCTTACCAGTACTTGTTTTTATTTTTTTTTTTTAGGCTTCATATATTTATTGAAAATACGGGGGCATAAAAACACGCATTCCAGGGAAAATGATCAGACTGTGACATAATGTTAAACTTGACACGTAGCATGTCGGTCCAGTTAACGTGGTGTGATGCTTGTGAATGTAGGTTGATCAAGGCTGCACGGCTTCTTAGAGACCCAGCTTGCTTCTTCTCCAATGTCTCCTCTTGGAGTTGTATCTGATTTTATTGCCAGTTTTCATTCGAATCCATTGAGGAATCGGAAGGTTCTGCTTTTGTTTCTTTGCCAGGAACCTCTTGATCCTGAAAGTCTTATAAGAAGACATGGTGTAGACAAAATAGGACCGCACTTTATGCTCCGCACGAAGAAAACTTCTGGAAGTCCAATTTCAGCTTCAGGAACCAGGAACTCCAGTCATGCAGCTGACAGAAAATCAGTACTTGTTTTTTTTTTTAAAATCAGTACTTGTTTTTAGTCTTGAACTTGGCTATCACCATCGGGGAGGGAGATGGTATCTCATTGGTGTTTGGACGTGTATTTCTGTAATGGCTTATGTGAGAGCAATTAGGAGTTCATTGGGAGCAGTTAGGAGGGGGTTCTGGTGGTCCTAGTGGTTGGGAGTTGTGCTGCCAGCTTGAAAGCTCACAACTCTAAACCACCAGCTGTTTTAGGGGAGAAAGACCGCAATTTCCTCCTGTGCAATTTACGGCCTCTGAAAACCTATGAGTCAGCTCCGAACGAGCAAACAGCTAATGACCCAAAACAGTTCCTCACCTGTTTACTGGGCACCTGAACGATTTTGGTGGAATGTGTGCTCATGTCATCTGTCCACTTTTTAACTGGACTGTCTGCTTTTCTGTTGAGTATGTATTCAAGTTTTCTAGAAATTCTAGAGATTGGTCTCTTATAACTAAAAAAGTATACCATTTTATATCCTGCATTAACATTTTCAATGTAGCGAATCATGTATCTGAGAAGATTTGGTGGTTGGTGTTAGATGTTTAAATTTTTAATCTTTCTACACTTGAGAGCAGCTAATTTGAACCAAAACTCCCAAATTCATGGCTTCTACATGATTTCTAACTTATGGTGATCCCCCTATTGGGTTTCTGAGGGTGTAAATCTCTAAGTGGCTTGTGGATTTTAACCGCTGACATTTCAGAGAGCAACCAGTTTGGTGAGAGAAAAATCCTATCTCAGAGTGTTAACCTGAACTTCCCTTATGACACATAACAGAGAGTAACTTTTGATATGCTTACTGACCATTATTCCATCTTTCGACTACCAGTTTTAAGTGAGAGCTCTTTTTCATTAATTTGTAGTTTATCATACAAACCTTAAATGTAAGCTTTTTTTTTGGCCACGGATATGTAATATTAATTTTTCCTTTTAGTTTGTGGGTTCTCTTTTCATTTAGTTTAAGCTTACCTTTAATAAATAAGAAGTGTTACATTCTGGTGAATTATTTTTTTAAAAAATTTTTTTGTATTATTTTTATGTGTACCGTCAAATCAGATCTGACTGGTACAGAAGGAGATTGCCCCCTCCTTCTCCAGCAGAGCCTCTGGTGGATTTGAACTGCGTACCTCTGGGACTGAGAAGTGTTACATTCTGATTAAGTTTAACTTAACATTTCCTGGCTACATCAAGGTCACAAACTCTTGTAAGTTTGTTGTTGTTGTTTTTTTTTTAAACTTACCATATCACCTATTTGTACAAACTGGCAGTTTACATCTTAGTGAAACTTATTTAAAACTTCATTAAGGAATTTGTCTTGCTATTATTTTTCTCAATAGCAATAGACAAAACCAGGCTAAGTGCTGAGTATGGACCAGACTATCAATTACCCATATGCAAAATCAAACTATGGTTGAAGAAAATTAAAACACGTTTACAAGAACCAAAACACGACAAGTCTGAAGCACTGAACAGCAATGACTGAAGACCCGATGAGCTGTGTGGGATGGCATCAAGGATATCATCCATGGAGAGAGCAAAAAGTCATCACAAAGACAGAGAGAAAGGAAAAACCAAAATGGATGTCAGAAGAGACTCTAAAAATTGCACTACACAGTCAGTGCACTGAAAATTACTGGCTAACACAGAAATATTTCAAGAAGAACCATATGATCAAGAGCCAACAGTAATGAAGGAAGAAGTTGAAGCTGTGTTGAAGGACTTGTTAAAAACTAAAGCCCCAGGATTTGAAGAGATACCAATTGACACATTCCAAATAAGAGATGCTTCCCTGGACGTGCTCATCAATCTGATAGAAAAAGAAAGCAAAACTCATTGTAAGCAAGGTAGTTTTGATTCAAAGCGGGTCCTCTAACAGGTTTTCAAGTTTGTAGATTTTTTCCCCTTGAAGATGGCTGATGTATTTTAACTGCTACAAGAGCAGGGCCCCTGGATTAGAAAACAATTTCCTACAGACTACACCACTAAAGCCCTTTATGTTTACTACTGTTGAAGTTAGAGCTGCCACTGAGTCAACTACAATTCACAGTGATCCTATGAATAATGAATCTGAACTCTGCCCTATTTTGCACCGTTCTCATCATCTCTGACATACTCAAACCCACTGCTACTGTCACTGTGTCAATCCATCTTGTTAAGGGCCTTCCTCTCTTTTGGTGATCCTCAACCTTACCAAACATGCAATCTTTTTCCAAGGACTGGTCCCTCCTAAAAACAAGCCCAAAGCATGTGAGACAACATGTCATCATTCATGCCACTGAGAGGCACTCTTGCTGCACATTCGCCAAGACATAGCTGTTTGTTTTTCACAATCCAAGGGATATTTAGTAATCTTTCTTCTTTAACACAAGAACTGAAAAAGCATTGATTCTTCTTTTATTATCCTTCTTCCATGTCCAATTCTCTGATGTACAGGATGTTAACTGCAAAGACCATGGCTTCAATCAAGTGCACCTTAGTCTTTTTAATTTTTTAATTATTTTTGTGTGAGTGTATCGTCAGATCAGATCTGACTGGTACAGGAGGAGATTGTCCCTCCTTCCCTGGCAGAGCATCTGGTGGATTCGAACTGTGCGCCTCTGGGATTGTAGCTGCAGTTCCTTACCACTAGGCCACCAGAGCTCCCCTGCACCTTAGTCTTTAAACTGATATCTTTATGGAGTTCTGGTAACCTAATGGCAAGAAGCTCCTTTGTGGTCTTGAAGGCATGTGGTTTGAGGCCACCAGCTGCTCCATGGGAGGATAGGCAATCTCCTCTCATGCGATGAAACTGCCTCTGAAAACCTGCTGGAGGGTCAGCTATGGGTATGACTCTATGGTATACAACAAGAACAACAACAATCCTAATAGTAGCAGCTACATTGACATCTTTTTTCGTTAGCACTTTGGAAAGGTCCTTGACAGCAGAGTTTACCAATATACGCGTTTTATGTATCATATGCATAAACAGGCTGATGATGAATCTTCTTTTTATCTCGATGCCACATTCCTCTAAAGTCTACTTTATGAGCAACCTGTTCTTCATGTAGACTAAGTAGACATAGAGAAAGGATATAGCCCTGATGCACACCTTTCTTGATTTAAAACATTCACTGTTCCCTTACTCTGCTTGGACAAAAGATTCTTAGGCTAAGCATAGGTTTCACATGCGCATAATTAAGTGTTAACATCAGCCATAATTTACTATGATCCACACATTTAAATGCCTTTGTATTGTCAGTAAAAATGTACAGCAGTGTAGATTTGTATTTAGACTGTCAATACTGTTGCTAACAACAGACAGATATACTTATTCATAAAGTTCTAAATACTTAGAAAAGTCCATGTTGTGATATTTTATGGGTACCAAAATGTGTTTTACTGCTTTCTGGAAAAACATTAACGTTATCACGTAAGTTGGGAATTATTGTTAATTTTCCCATTTCAATAATAGAAAACAGATTTTATTTGATTAGTCTCTATGCAACAAGTTTTATTCAGGAACTAATTAATTTGAATAGCAGAGGAAAGCCCCCTTCTATCTTACATGACTCAAATGAATGTTTTAAATAATTTTTGACATCTGATGGTTTAAAATGAAACTGAATTATCAGTTTTAGCTACATGTAGGAAAGGTGTATATGTGCACACACACAGAGTCTACTCGTACCTGAAGTCCCAGAAGCTCATCAATGGAAGTTTCTGGCTCAGCTGGGTTGTTATCGGTTGCTTTAGGTACTTGAACAATATTGCTGTCACTGTAACACACAAAGGAAAAATGTAAGCATAATTCTTCAATAACAAAGGCAACCAGGCATTTTTAACATAGCTTACCTAGTCAAAAATTTATTAATATTTTCTGCAAGCTTTTCTTGAAGAGATTTGTTACTTAATATTTTTTCTCGTGCATTTTCAATAACCATTTGCTGTAAAAGTAAGTTAATATTGGGGTAGGGGGGAAAAAAAGAAAAAAAAAAGGAAAGTTAATATTAGCAAAAGAATAGTACTCTATGTAGAAAGGCCCAATTATCATAAACCAATGGAACCCTGGTGGCTTAACGGGTACAACTATCCTAACCTAAAGTTAGTGCCTATCTGGCGGTTTGAATCCACAAATGATGTTCCTCTCATGGTAATTTATAGCCTTGAGAAATCTGCTGGAGAGTTCTGATTCCATAGTGAGATTGTTGCGAATGAAAACTGAGTCACTTTAATAAAACGTACAGATGGTTCTCTCTCTATAAAATGTCTGCATATCACTGCATTTTGTTTGAACTTCAGATTCTTCACCAACTCTGTTTTAAACTCTTTAACATGTAATATTGTTGCTAATTACTATTGAGTGGATGCTGATTCATCATGTCAATTGATGGGGCCCATTAATTTTAACATAACCATAAAAATAAGGCAAAATAAGTGGGCCCCATAGAGTTTGCAAGTTTTGAAACAGAATGCCAGGCATGTGCTCTGAGGTATCTGGATTTAAAATGCCAAACTTTTTGGTCATAGTTAAATGATTAATGGCTTATTCTTCCTAGGACATCATTCACATATATTATACAAAGTTTAAAACATTCTGATCCTAGTTAAATGTTCCATTATACTGCATTATTCAGAAGCAATAAAGTACTTAACGTTGCCCAAACAGTGCTTTTTAATTTCATGCATTCACATAAGCTTTCTATTTTAAATGGACAGTCTCTTTTTTTGCTATACATTCCTAGTCTTCATCCTAAAGCAATTTCTCTACAGTCTTGTATAAGTATACCTCTCTCACATACACATCACCCCCCTCCTATACATACATACATACATACCTATTATTCTTTCTAGAATCAAGAATAGTTTAAATTACCAAGTATGGGCATGGTACTTACTTTTTCTACTGCAAATGCATTCGGATCCTGGAAATTCCGGATCGTTGAATGAGGACCAGTCAGTGTGATAGTTTTCTTTTGAGAGTCACTGAAACACATTTAAAAGCTCATCTTTTAACAAGCACAGGTACCCCTCAGAGATACTGTGAGCTTGGTTCCAGATCACCAACACAATAAAGTAGGTGACACACACTTGCTGTGCTTCCCGGGGCCTAGTACAGTTACACCATAACTTAGTCTAGGAAGTGTACAACAGCACTATGAAAAAGGCTGAACTACTATGAGAATCACACAAATGTGACACAATGACACAAATGAACACATGCTATTGAAAAAAATGGCTTTGATGGGGATACTTGAAAAAAAAAAAAAAGATTGCCATGAATATGAAATTTGTTTAAAAAATATGTAGTTTCTATAAAGCACAGTAAGATGAGGTATGATTATATGTATAACATTAAGTGAAGTTATGAGACAAATATTTTAGTAAGGTTTTCACGATACGATAGTATTTTCTCTTTTATTGGCAGGAACTAAGGGAAGAAAGGCAGAAAAGCAACACTAAGCTGGGATTAAAAACCCATTAATTAATGCCATTAACTAACCACCTAGGTTTATTTTTCACTGGCTATGAGACCTAATGTAAGATGAGCTCGCTCTCTGAGTTAATTTAAAATGGAGTAAAATCAACTGCATTACTGCGTTAATGGCAGAATTAGATACATAGTCTTTATAAATAAAAGTCGAGGCTGCTGCACATGTTATTTTGATTATTGTTTTACATGACATGTCCATAATTGAGAAAGCTTGTACTAAAGGAGGCTGAGGATAGTCTGTGAATTAAAATAACCTACAGTGAGAACAATTTCCCATGATCTGGCAACTGAAAAATGAGAAAAAACTATTTTCTTTTTATTTTATTATTTTGTGTGTACCGTCAAATTGGATCTGACTGGTACAGGAGGAGACTGGCCCCTCCTTCTCCAGCAGAGCATCTGGTGGATTCGAACCAGAAAAAAACATTTTTAAACAAGTATTCATCTTTTCTGAAATACCCTTGAACATGGATCAGGTATATAAATGAGATAAATAGGATAGAATTTTCAACGGCTAGCTCTACAAAGATTTCTAATAATTAATTCAATAATGTTGACTGTGTTTGTGGAATTTAAAACATGTACAAATTGGTAAAATTTCATGTAAAAAATATGAACTGACATAAATTTAAAAATACACCCATATTACGTGTTTAACTACAAAAAAAAAAAACCACATAAGCAACCCATTACTATTGAAATATGTCACTGCTTTTAGGAGTCAATCCCACTCCAGGTAGGACAAAATGTGAGGAAGAAGGGAAAAAGAAAGCTTTCGAATGGAAGTAATGGTAAATAACCCAAAGAACTTAATCCAGCCACACAGTTTACCTTACTATCTATCTTGGCATAATTCTCATTTTAAAATTCAGGTTATTAGCAACTTGTCACTTACCTTTTGCGTCTAGCAGGAGACATTAGACTAGCATGATTTTTCCGTTCCTGAGGACCAGAAATAATATTTAAAGTTTCTCCAGCTGAATTTGAAGGAAAAAAAAAAAGGTAAGCTGAGAAAATGGAATAATTTTGTAAATATGAATTATTTTGATAAGCAGCATAAAATGTTTATAATTTTATATTAAATTCAGTTTATATTTATGGTATGCTTATTATGTACAAAACTAAGATTAATGCAAATTTCTGTAATAAAAATTTTAAAATTAAAAAAACCTGTCATAACGATCACAGCTGAACATGGAAATAATGTTATTATTTTACCTTCACAGTTCTTATTCATACGAAGAAAAATATTCAAGATAAAAAGTGTACACACATCGCTTCTCGGCCTTTTGGCTAAGATCAAGTGTAGTATCTGTTCTTATTAGTTTAAAAAGTGCCCCCCCCCCCCCCACACACACACACACTTTACATGAGAAAGATATTAGTCTTCTGAATTTCAGTAAGACATATAACTTGTCCTAACCATCTAATCTGACAACCAAGGAAATTAGATCAGTGTCAATAATAGAGAGAGAGAGAGAGAAAAAAAAAAAAGAAACTTACTAGTAACAGTGTCTTGTGTCTGTGCATGGTTAACTACCACAAAATTTGACCTCAGTGGAGCTGTAATTTGGCCAGTTGGCCGAACCTGTGTAGCTGTCAAAGGAGCAGTAGTGAACTGTCCTGAAATGTACGGTAAAGTCAGCAACTCTGAACTGACTTGCGCTGCATGGGAGGCAAGCCTTCTCTGCCGTTTGATTTCTGCAATTCCATTTCTAGTTCTGGCTGAAACACATAAGCATTTAAAAATTAAGTTCATGTCAGAATAAGCAGTTTAGGATGTTTACAAGTACTGTGTCCCATTAGTTTACATGTCAAATCTATAAACTGTTTTGTAAAATCAATTGCACTAACCAGTGATTTCTTAAGAAACAAAGACACCCACATTTTACACCCAGTATATTACTTCCGTAGTATTGCTAGTGAATATGTCTCCAAAAGTAGAAATATTAAATTTAAAGAATGAAAATTAAAGACATTACTGTAGGAGAGCAATGATGATAACGTCTTTGGATTAGGAAAAACAGTACTTTGAAGCAAACATAGGTCTAGGATATATATATTATTAATGAATATTTCTGGGAGAATTAGTAATTCTGAAGATTGTTTACGGTTTAAAGTTAAATACCAACCTCTCTGATTGGCAGCAAATCCTGGAGAACTTTGCATACTCCTAGCAAAAAACAAAGTAATTAACTATAAAAAATTTTGTATTATGATCCATTTTGATTTAGTTATATTTTGACCTGAGGTAAATATTAATTAAAAGGTAAAAATTTGCTGAGACAAATGGGGGGGAAAAAAGGGCAAGCATACTATTTACATAAGCAAATAATATCTTCTTTAGGGAAAAAACCAACATGCAAACATATTAAACCAAGCACACATAACTTTAAATATAGACATTTCAATATACACTAAAATGCTACACAGTATTAAAAGCACCGTCTAAATTTTAGGAAATAGTGCATTTAAGAAGTTATGTACAAAGTTTAATTTCTCAATTATGTAATTTTAGGTTTCTTCTTGTGGAAGTTAACTATTTCAGGTAAGATTACACATATAAAAGTATGTTTCAAAGAATTCCAATGCTGACTTCAAAGGGCATCAAGCTTATTAATATGAAATTATTCTATCTTAGCACTGAAAACAGAAAAAATATATAAGGTAATTAGAATTATCCTTTGAGTAAGAACTAGAGTGACACATGCACTTGGTAAATGATAAGGCACTATGCCATTGTGCTAATAAATCTGTTATATAACCCTTATGAGAAGTCACAACATGCCAATTAAGCAGTTTTTAATAAAAGGCAAATCAACTTTGGAGTACACTTGGCTAGGAAATGTTTCCTTTTATGTAACATTCTGTCAATAAAATCTCTCAGTAACTTCTAAGAAAAGGTACTGACAATAGTTGTGGTGTGTGTGGTTGAGTCAATTTGTATTCTTTGGACCCTCAGCAACACAGAATGCCCCATGAGGTTTTCTATAATCTTTGCAGGACAGGTCTCCAAATAGTTCGGAGACCATGGGAGACATGGATCAGCTGGCAGATTCAATCAATGACCTTTCAGTTAGTAGCTGATCATTTAACTGATTTTAAAACTAAAGTAAGACTACTAACTCAGATGTGGTCCAGAGTCAGGTAAAAAGGAGCTGAAAGGAAGGAACTTAGGCTTCTGTTACAGATGAGTAGTGGTATTCATTAGTCCTGGGAGGAATAGAAGTGCTCTAAGTAATCTAACAGATGCTATAAAGTTGGTATTAATATGATGAGCATCCTTTTAAGGTTTTGAAATCTGGTACTTCAAGGCCATGGTACAGACTGAATCTACATATTCATATTGTTGTTGTTATGTGCCATCGAGTTGCTTGCGAATCATAGCGACCCTATGCCCTAAACCCTGCTCTATCCTGTGCCAATTGCACTGCCTC